TGCGTTTAGCCCATTTACATTTAGGGTTAATATTGTTATGTGTGAATTTGATACTGCCATTTTGATGCTAGCTGGCTGTTTTGCCTGTTAGTTAATGCAGATTCTTCATTTTGTTGATGCTCTTTAGCATTTGGTATGTGTTTGGAATGGCTGGTACTGGTTGTTCCTTTCTATGTGTATTGCCTCTTTCAGGAGCTCTTGTAAAGCAGGCCTGGTGGTGACAAAATGTCTGAGTACTTGCTTGTTTGCAAAGGATTTTATTTTTCCTTCACTTATGAAACTCAGTTTGGCTGGATATGAAATTCTGGGTTGAAAGTTCTTTTATTTAAGGATGTTGAATATTGGCCCTCAGTCTCTTCTGGCTTGTAGAGTTTCTGCCGAGAGATCTGCTGTGACTCTGATGGGCTTCCCTTTGTGGGTGACCCGACCTTTCTCTCTGGCTGCCCTTAGCATTTTCTCCTTCATTTCAACCCTGGTGAATCTGACGAATATGTGCCTTGCTCTTCTTGCAGAATATCTTTGTGGTGTTCTCTGTAATTCTTGGACTTGAATATTGGCCTGCCTTGCTAGGTTTGGGAAATTTTCCTGAATAATATCCTGAAGAGTATTTTCCAGCTTGGATTCATTCTCTTTGTCACATTCAGGTACACCTATCAAATGTAGATTAGGTCTCTTCACATAGTCCCACATTTCTTGGAGATTTGTTCATTCCTTTTTGTGCTTTTTTCTCTAATCTTGGCTTCTCGTTTTATTCCATTGAGTTGATCTTCGACTTCTGATATCCTTTCTTCTGCTTGGTCAATTTGGCTGTTGAAACTTGTGCATGCTTCGTGAAGTTCTCGTGTTGTATTTTTCAGCTGCTTCAATTCACTCATATTCCTCTCTAAGTTGTCCATTCTTGTTATCATTTCCTCAAAATTTTTTTCAAGGTTCTTAGTTTCTTTGCATTGATTTAGAAGGTGTTCTTTTAGCTCACGGAAATTTCTCATTACCCACCTTCTGAAGTCTGATTCTGTCATTTCATCACACTCATTCTCCATCCACTTTTGTTCCCTTGCTGGTGAGGAGTTTTGGTCCTTTGTAGGAGGCGAGGTGTTCTGGTTTTGGGTGTTTTCCTCCTTTTTGCGCTGGTTTCTTCCCATCTTTGTCGATTTATCCACCTGTCGTCTGAGTGGTTGCTGATTTTCCGATTGGGTCTCTGAGTGGACGTCCAGATTGTTGATGATGAAGTATTTGTTTCTTAGTTTTCCTTCTAACAGTCTGGCCCCACTGCTGTAGGACTGCTGAGGTCCACTCCAGGCCCTGCTTGCCTGGGGAACTCCTGTAGCTGCTGTGGAACCATGAGGGTTGCTACCAGATTCTTCTTCTGCTATCTTTGTCCCTGAATGATGCCCGCCAAATGTCAGTCTGATTAGTCCTTTGTGAGGTGACTCTTTGGATATATGGGGGTCAGGGAGCTGCTTGAGGAGACAGTCTGTACTTTATAGGAGCTCTAGTGCTGAGCTGTGAGCTCCATTGTTTATTCAGGGCTGCTAGGCAGGTATGTTTAAGTCTGCTGCAGCAGAACTCATAAAGCTCCCCCCCTTTTTTTTTCCTCAGGTGCTCTGTCCCGGGGAGTTAGGGCTTTATTTATGAGTATCCATTGCACTTTCCTGCCCAGCAAGGAGGCAGTCTAGTCACTGCCTGCCTGTAGTGGCTATGATGAGCTGCCATGGGCTGTGCCCTGCTGCTGTGTGTAACTCCCTGTAGTCCTGTTTATATGGGTGTGGTTAGAACTGCAGTGGCGATGGTGGCCCACCTCTGTAGTGGCGGACTCTTTCTGTTATGGCGGGTTGCCTCGGCAATGGCAGGCTGCGTCAGCAATGGCAGAGTACCTCAGTAGGGGTCCAATGCCTCGGTAGTGGTGGGTGCCCCTCCCCCACCGAGCTGCACTGTTCTGGGTTCAGCTGTGCTTGCTGTGAAACTCTCAACCCCGAGCATTTCCAATTGCTGTTTTGTTTGTTTTTGTGTGGGTGGGACCCGCCGAGCCTGATCACCTGGCTCCCTGCCTCAGAGCCCTTTTTTTTTTAAAGTTGAATGGTTGACTCTCTCCCAGGTGTTCCAGTCGCCTGCTGCAAGGGCGCCGGGATCTGTGTGATATCCCGTGCAGCGACCCACTGCACTGGCTCAAACCACGTTGCTGCCTGGGAATCTCCTGGCCTGGCTTTCTGTTTAAGACCTGTTTAATCAGATGAATGTGCTAATCTGCCTTCCAAAATCTCCAATTGCCGGTTTAACAGGGCAACTAAACCAGTGTATTTTGTACAGAGTGCCGCTGTGCTGCGGCCTCACCCCAAACAGCTGCGCCAGCCCAAACTGCCATGCTGGCAGCCCATGGGGCTCATACACCTGGGAATCTCCTGGTCTGTGGGCAATAAAGATCCGTATGGAAATGCGGCGTCCACTCACACTCTGAGGTTTCACTGGGAGCTACAATCCTGAGTTTAATCTATATTTCTTTTACTTTTTTGCTTGCCTTATTACAATGGCTGGATCTTTCAGTAATATATTGAATAAGAGTGGTAAGAGTGGACATTCTTGTCTGTTCCTGATCTTGGAGAGGAAGCATTCAGTCCTTCACCATTAAGTAAGATGTTAGCTGTAGGTTTTTTTGGAGATGGTCTTTATCAAGTTGTGGTAACTGCCTGCTGCTCTTAACTTGAAGAGAATTTTTGGTTTTGTCTTGTGTTTCCTTTTTCTCTTTCTTTTTTTGAGATGGAGTCTTGCTCTGTCACCCAGGCTGTAGTGCAATGGCACCATCTCGGCTCACTGCAACCTCCATCTCCTGGGTTCAAGCTATTCCTCTGCCTCAGCTTCCTGAGTAGCTGGGATTACAGGTGCAAGCCACTCTGCCAGGCTAATTTTTCTATTTTTAATAGAGACTGGGTTTTACCATGTTGATCAGGCTGGTCTCAAAATCCTGATCTCATGTGATCTGCCTGTCTCGGCCTCCTAAAATGCTGGGATTATAGGCATGAGCCACCACACTGGGCCTGTTTTGTCTTGTTTTTCATAGTGAATGGCTGTTGGGTTTTGTAAATCCTTTTTCTGTGTCAATTGATATGATTTATGATTTTATTCTTTAGTTTACTGACATGGCAAATTACATTAGCTGATTTTCAAATGTTGAACCAGCCCTGCATACCTAGAGCAAATCCCACTTGGTTTTGGTGTATAGTTCTTTCGGTACATTATTGAATTTGGATTGCTAATATTTTGTTGAAGATTTTTGTCTAAGTTCATGAGATATACTTGTATGTAGGTTATGTATATATATATATATTGTCCTTATCTGATTTGGGTATTGGGTAATACTGGCCTCATAAAGTTAGTTGGAAACTGCTCTTTCCTATTCTGTGTTTTAGAGGAATTTACATTTTGTTGTTGTTGTCTTCTTTAAATGTTTGCTAGCATTTTCCACTAAAACCACCTGTGCCTGGAGATTTCATTTTTGAGAGCTTTAAATTATATAAATGAATGGATTTGTTGACATATAATTTAATTATGTGATTAGTTATATAAAATGTAGTTTTGTATTTATATAGCTTTATATTCCCCATATAGCTGGCTAGAGAATTTTTTTTTAATTTACCAGAGGAAGGTGTCAGAGGGGACCATTCCCTGTCCTCCTGTACCACTCTACCCCTTTTCCTTTCCATCCCTTGGGTGATTTCAAGCTTAGGGGTGCAAGCCTGACTTGTGGGTGCCCCAGGTGTTTCCACACAGAACAGACCATGGATGCTGAGGGTGAGATGGAGGTATGTCACTAGGGTCCTACATTAGAGAAGGGGGAGGGAAACCAGGTGGGGTGTCCCCAGAAGCCTTCCATTTCTTTGTGGTCACAGGGCTTGATAACGAACAGCAGGTGCCAATCCAGAGATAGGCACAGAGATGAAAAGTCCCAAATCAGGACCCCAGCCCCACCCCCCATGCCATTGATGCTATCACTGTACTGTAACAGCAATGGGAGGCAGGTGTTGCGTATTTGAAGGGAACATAGCAGAGAGTGCAGACTGCACCTTGGGATGACATGCGAGGATGAGCTTTTTGGCTTTGTGGCTGCCCAAAGTCCTTATGAGCACATTTAGCTTCATAGGCTTCTTTCATGCTCTACAAATCATAGACCCACTGTGTGCATCCTTTGGGCACACTATGTCTGGGAATACTCTGGGCATCCTTTGTCTCAGACTGGCTCAGGGGCCTGCATTCTTTCTGGGGTAGAGTCACAGAGTGGCTTGGTGTCCACTTGAATGGGCTCTCTCCGTAGCAGATCTGAGCCTGTACTTCCCACCTGGCAGCTGATGCCCCATTTGGCCTTGTTGAGGGACATGAAAGGATGTGCTTTGGCATCTGAGGATGGCAGTAGCAGGAGAGGGTGCTGATGAGAATGTTGTAGTAGTCTGCATGAGTTTTCCATGAATAGTTAAGAGGCTCATGTTGATGCAACTTGCTTGAGGCTGCATAGTAAGTGGCAGAGTCAAGGCCTGGATTCAGGTCAGTCTAACACAAGAGTCATAAATAATGTGACTCAGTTTTCTCATTTGTACAATGGAGAAACTGATGGTCTTTACCTCCCAGTATGGTCATGAGGGTTCAATGAGACAATCATGTAACAATCCAGTCCATGGCCTAGATAGAACATGGTAAGTACTCAATAAATATTAGTCAATATTAATATTGATGTCATTTATCAACAAAGTCAGAATTATAAGATGGTAGCAAAAATTGAGCATTAACATAAGTATGATAAAAATTAGAGTTGTTTCTGGTTTGTAAACATGCGAAGCATTTCTTTTTCTGGAGACAGAATCTCATTCTGTCACCTAGGCTGGAGTTCAGTGGTGCAATCTCAGCTCAGTGCCACCTCTGCAGGTGGGGCCTTTCATTAGACACTAATTTGAAGCTATGGCATTCCTCCACTACAAGCCTACCTGTCAGCTAGCTATCTGCCTTAATCCTAGATGAAGTGGCTGTTCTGCCTGCCCCTCAGAACCTCTCTGTACTCTCAACCAACATGAAGCATCTCTTGATGTGGAGTCCAGTGATTGTGCCTGGAGAAACAGTGTACTATTCTGTCGAATACCAGGGGTGAGTTTTTTTTTTTTTTTTTTTTTTTTTAATAGTTCTTCTCCCTTAGGCAGAAGTTGGTTCCTAAAGGCATAGTTTTCCTTCTGAGCCCAAGGTGGCTTTTTGAGCCCAGGGATAGATTATCCCCAGATCTACCCGCTCTGCCTGCATAAGCAGTGAAGGAGTTGAAGAAGCAAGGGAAATTGTTCGTGGATTTGACAGTGAACTTTCTGGGAAGACAAATGTGCATAACACATTTTGATGAAGTTCTTTCAAAAAGTGAGTTAACTGTCCAGTGGGTTTGAATCTGACCTGAGATGGATAAATCACTGGAGACTCATCAGATCCTTTAAGGGTGGAGGAGTCCTTACTTTTCCTGACTTCATAAGGTTATCCCTAGGAGCCAAAAGGTCATAGTTTTATGACCCTAAAAATCAGCTGGCCCTGGGACCAAGCAGGTTCTGGTCTTCTGCAGGTGTCCATGTGTTTGCAGCTATTGTTGGGCAAAAAGTACTCAATATTTTGGAGAAATGACCAGTGTGGCAAGAATATCATGCTTAGGAGCAGAGTGAGTGCGAAGGCCAAAGCATCTTGTAGGCCACTGGCAAGAGTTTGGTTCCCATTCTAAGTCCTGTAGGAAGCCATTCAGGAGAAAAGTGTTGTGATCTGCTGAGTAATGAATGGTTTCGAGAATGGCAGGTGTGCAAGCTGGGAGAGCACAGCAAGGCAAGGAATGACAGCGGCTGAGATTAGGGTAATGACCCTGGAGATGAAGAGACCAAAAAGATCCAGACACACTGATGTTTATGCCTCGTTTTCCCTATCTGGCAATAAAAGGAGTAAGGGAGAATGGATGGTTGGTGGGGAGGAGAGCGGAGGAGCTAGGATAATGAGCAAGTACTTATTTTACTTACCTATAAAAAGTAGGAGAATGAAGGCAGTTACTTGCAACTGTAACTGAGTCTGTGTCAGAGGGCCTGGTGTAACTCTGTGCCTTCCTCTCCTTGACAGGGAATACGAGAGCCTGTACATGAGCCACATCTGGATCCCCAGCAGCTGGTGCTCACTCACTGAAGGTCCTGAGTGTGATGTCACTGATGACATCACGGCCACTGTGCCATACAACCTTCGTGTCAGGGCCACACTGGGCTCACAGACCTCAACCTGGAGCATCCTGAAGCATCCTTTTAATAGAAATTCAAGTGAGGCATTTCTTTGCTTATACTCCCATCCCCACCAGCCACCCCTTTAGGAATCATGTTCACCTAGACTGTCTAGACTCTTTTTTAGCATCGAAATAGTTTTGCAAAGCCAGAGTATTGTGAACACAAACAACCCTTACTGGTACATTTGAAAAGTTGCCAACTGTTTCCCACATGTTGCTCTCTCTCATGCCCTTTGACTTTGGAAGTCATTCCTGACTGTCTCTGTCAGGGTGTGCAGGTGTTGGGGATCCTGACATTGGGAACCTGGAAGAAAAGCTGCTCTGGAAGTGAGGAGATGGCACCAGGACTGCTGCTCCCTGGCCCTGATTGTGTCTCCATAAATCTTACACTGCCTCCCACTTGATACCTCATTAACTGCATATTTACTGCCCATGTAAGCAGCTTTGTTGTGCAAGAGGATTTATACATTTGACAGAGCCACCAGAACACTGCCCTTCTATAATGACTTCTGTGGGAAATAAATAACTTTTCTTTTGTAGTGGTACCTGGAAATGGATTGAGAAAGGAGTAATAGAGGAATCCAAATAGGTGGCCAAATATGGCTACATGCAAACAATGGCCATTGTGTAAAAGGACGTGTGTGTTTGGGGAAGAGAGGCAAGGGCTGATGGGCAGTGGGAAGGGAAGCAGCTGATCTCAGACTCCTGAGGTCAAGTGATTCTCTTTCCTCAGCCTCATGAAGTGCTGGGATTATAGGAATGAGCCATTGTGCTCAGCCATCACAAGGTTAACAGCTAAAGGCTTGGAAGTAGACGAGACTATCTAGGGACAAGATATTGAGGACAAAGAGAGGACAAGGTCCTGGAAAACCTCAGGCTTTAAAATGTGGATGGAGAGCTGGCAGCTGTGGTTGTAAAGCAGACGTGGATCATATAAAGATAAGGGAGTGCCTACAAAACTATGTGGGCTGGGATGTTCTATAACACCTTGTGCTTAACAAGGCCAGTATAAACAGGAAAAGAGCTTGCTGCAGGGGGAGCTGAGGAACAGCAGTCTGTACTTGCATCAGAAGTCAGAAGACAGAGTTCTATGTGATTCCTCTGTGAGCTGAGCAAATGGGTTGGAATGGCATCATGATCTCTTAAGGCCATTAAGTTTGTCCTCTTCCATTTGAAAAGGCCACTCAGACTTCTCCCCAGGAATGTGAAAAATCTTGATTTAAGGATCTTGATCCTGAAAAGGATCCCTACTCTCTTTTTTCTTTCTTTCTTTCTTTTCCTTTTTTTTTTCAGATGGAGTTTCACTCTTTTTGCCCAGGCTGGAGTGTAATGGCATGATCTCAGCTCACTGCAACCTCTGCCTCCTGGGTTTGAGTGATTCTCCTGCCTTGGCCTCCCAAGTAGCAGGGATTACAGGAATGTGCCCCTATGCTCAGCTAATTTTGTATTTTTAGTAGAGACAGGGTTTCACCATGTTGGTTAGGCTGGTCTCAAACTCTTGACCTCAGGTGATCTGCCCACCTCAGCCTCCCAAAGTGCTGGGATTACAGGTGTGAGCCACTATGCCCAGCTGAGGATCCCTACTCTTAAAGGTAAACTTTATTGAGAACAGAGGTTTTTCACTTTGACTGCACATTTGAATCACAGGGGAGCTTTAGAATCACTTATTCCTGGGGCCCTTCCCCAGAGGCTGGTTTAAATGATCTGCATGCATTTTGTTTACTGGAAGTTTAAAATTCTCCCCAGATTATTTTCATGTACAGCTAGGGTTGAGATCCACTAGTAAAGAGGCAAAATACCCCATACAGGGGAAGCAGAAGTGTAGAAAGAAGTGGGCTCAAATTCTGCAGATTATGTGATTCTGGGCATGTCACTTAATCTCTCTGTAAAACAGGAATAATGTTTACCTTCTAACGCTTCCCTGGGCAGATTAAATGAGATAAATATGCAGAATGCATAGGACAGAGGTTCCTGCCCCTGCACTGTCAAACAATTCTCTGAACCTTAACTTCAGATTATTTTCTCTAAGTCTGTTCTCAATGAAGATGGAGATCAGAAGACCCAATTCAAATCATATTTGACAGAAAAGTCGAGGAGTCAAATATCTCTTTTCCTTCTGGAAGTGTTTTGGAGGTAGTGCTAGTGGTGCTGTGTGCGCATATGAAGCCTCTGGACGGAGTGTGTTTTGCACAGTTGGCCCTGAACTCCCAGGTCCTCCTGTCCCCTATCCAGGTAGCTTTCCAATAACCAGGCATATACTCTTCTCTGATGAGGGAGGTGAGGAGGAAATGCTTTGTTCTCTGAAAACTCCCTCCAGGAACTGCCTTTCTTCTGAGTGTCCACTGACCCTAGGGGAGGCAGATTTAGCCCAGAACATACCCCACCCTACTTCCCCATCCAAGATGAATGATCAGGGTGGTCTTTCTGGTCCTGCAGTATCTGGATCTGAGAGGCAAGTTTTACTCCACTGCCAGTTACCAGGGAGTAGAGACTATCTGTGTGGGCCCTTCTGTTCTTGGTCTGCTGATAGGAAGGTATCCACAGGGGCTGTGGGCCTCTCTGCTTGACCTCGCAATATGAAAAGTGATGTTTGTGTTAATCTGTAATTTCTAGAGTTGATTATTGGAATTTGTAAAAAGCCTGTGGGCTGGGCTCATTGGCTCACTCCTATAATCTCAACACTTTGGGAGCTCGAGGCAGGCAAACTGCTTGAGCCCAGGAATTCAAGACCAGCCTGGGCAATGTGGTGAAACCCCATCTCTACAAAAACAAAGCAAACAAAAAAGCTGCATGTGGGGTGATGTGTGCTTGTAGTCCCAGCTACTTGGGAGGGTAACTGGGATGATTACCCAACCCTGGGAGTTCGAGGCTACAGTAAGCTGTGATAGTGCACACTCCAGCCTGGGTGACAGAGTGAGACCCTGTTTAAAAAAAAAAAAAAGCTGGTGACTTGCCAGCATCCCTTAATCAGGATATGAGATGAAAAATAGAACTGGGCTGAGAATAGAATGGCCAACCCATTCACAGGCTGCTGATCTGCTGATATGTCAAACTTATCAGTAGCCAATTCATGCCACAGATCTATGTGAGTTGTGGGAATGCATGTGCCTCTGCCAGGAATGCTCATTCCTAAGGGGCAAAGACTGGGCCTGACTGTTCAGTATAGACCTGAGCTCATATAGGCATTTGGCAAGCATTAAAAAATTGCATCTGCTCACTTGGATGAGCCAAAGTGAGGAGCAATTTCTGCTGAAAAAGTGGTGGGAGGAGGGGCATGGATCATAAAATTTTAAAAGAGCAAGAGATAATGTTTACTGGAGTTTTTAATCACTTTTCTTGTGTATATGTGCCTCCTGGAGAAGGAAAAGTGGACTTTGTTATAGTTAAAGGATTAAAAAGGAAGAGAATTATAGTATTTATCATTTGTTTTTTCATTCATTCATCACTCAAAAAGCATTTACTGAGCACCTGCTGAGTAGATGAGAGTATTTCTGTACATGTTTCCATGTGCTTGAAGCTACAGCTGACTCCCTCCCTTCCCTACAGAGACTGACATATTTCCACCAATGACACGGTCATTGTGTTCCAGGGAAATCAGTCTTGTCTGGGACTGGCTTTGACTCTCCTGTTATCTTGCCAACAGCCATCCTTACCCCACCTGGGATGGAGATCACCAAGGATGGCTTCCACCTGGTTATTAAGCTGGAGGACCTGGGGCCCCAGTTTGAGTTCCTTGTGGCCTACTGGAGGAGGGAGCCTGGTGCCGAGGTGAGACTCTAGCCCTGGCCTTTGGGTCAGGCTTCCATGAAGAAAGCACAGATCTCTGAGGGTGAGCAAGGGAAGCTGGTGGCCTAGGGATGAGCTGTCCTGGGCGAAGTGTGCAAAAGATTAGAGTATGTTGACCATCCCATCAGCCTCTTCTCCAAAGAACTGCCTTGGTCCATTCCATGCCTTGGCTGGGAATCTTTCCAGGCCAGATCTGCTGAAGTGTGGGGCTGCCCCCTAAACTCTAACCTAGTTGGACCCACAATATCTTTTCAATGAATTTTTTTCTCCCTCCTCAGCTCATCTCCTCAGCCATATAGGAGCAGCAGTCAGGGTTTCTAGATCAACAGGATGATTTCAAAAGCACACAAGGCTGGTACAAACCTTCTGAGGGTACATATCTTGGCAAGGTGCAGAGGTAGAGGCGGGAGGCAGGAGCCAGGAGCTGCTTATGAGTAAACCCATCTAACTATGAGCAGGTGGGCCATGCAGAATGCCCAGGTGGTGTGCTGCCCTCTTCTTTGGAAGGGTGCTACAGCCTGGGATAGGTGGGAGGCCAACCTTCACAGAGAGAATAGCCAGACAAGCAGCAGCAGTACAAGGAGTGGAGCATGAGCAGGAACCAGGGGACACTCCGACCTGTGGAGCCTCTGTCCAAGCTGATATGGTGACAAAGCTTAGGGACCCACTCCAGGTAGCACAAGCAAAGATAAGCTTTATCACAAGGATTAATACAGTGCAATAAGGGGCTCTCACAGATCTATGAACAGAGCTGGCACAGGGCCAGGCTGCAGCCTAACTTAGCCATGGCCCTTGCTCCTCTCTGGTTGGTGCCCCCTCTTGCACATTTTCTGTGGCCCCTTCCCAGCTTATTCCAGGCTGTGATTCCCTCATCAATGCTTCCTATTCATGCCTATGATGTGCCCCTGAGCCCCCTAAAAGCCTCTCAGGCCCGACTCCTCCTCACTGGGTCCTCTCTCCTTTGTCCCTGCTTCTTGCTCTCGGTCTTCAGTTTCCCAAGACCAAATCCTCAGAAGAATCCAGTTGGTCTTGCTTGTCTTATCAGGCCAAGCTTCAGGGGTTTCTGGTAGCCAGCTCACCCCTGATTGGACCCTTCTCAGGCCAAGAGTACCCTTGATCTTATAGCAGTGTCTGGACTCAGAGCACGTGCCCCACCACCCATTCAACAAGGGCTGTAGGTTGGGTAGCTTCCATGAAAGGTGGTGTGGACAGGTATAAAACTGGGTTCCAGTATTTACCCCTGCTCGGAAAGGCCCCACTGTAGAATATGACATTGCCAGCCAGGAAGATGTAGTAGTGTTGGGGATAGGTCAGGGCCTGAGCAGGAGGAAGCATGCAGCTCCCTCAGATTCACTGGGATGGAGCCCAGTCCCCACCCTTGGTAACCGGTAGGGCCAGGGCTAAGAAAGGAGCATGTACCCTGAGTCATCTGGGCTTGGTCCAGGCAAGCCTCCACAGGCTCAGATGTAGAGCACAGCTTCAGGGAGGGGCATGGAGGTGGAAGCGTGAACAGATGGATGGACAGATGGGTGGATGAGTGAGGAGGTGCTGCCCATGGCTCCACTGCACTGATTCCCTGGCAGCAATGGCCATGCCAAGCCCCTGCTCAAGTCATATTTTCAACCTTCATGTCTCTGTGTAAATGTTACCCTATCAGACAAGGCTTCTCTAACCACTCTGTTTAGAATGGTGCCTCCTCATCACCATCTCTTTGCTTTGCTTTTTCCTTCACAGCCGTTATCACCACCTGAAGTTTATTTTTTTTTATTGTCTGTCTCACCCCATGTAAGCTCTGTGAGAGTGAAGACTTTGTCCATTTTGTTCAATGCTAGGTCCCTGTGCCTAGAGTAGTGCCTAGCACATAGTAGGTGCTTAATAAATATGATTGAATGAATGAGTGCCTGAATGAATGCATGCATAAGTGAGAGGGGACATTTGTGTGCATCCAGAAAGGAAGTATCTGCAACTTTCCTTCCCTGGCACTTTTTGCCCTTTCTAGTTCTGCTGCCTTCTGGGAATAACTGTGTTTTCTTTTTCTCTCTCTCTCTTTTTTTTTTTTTTTGAGACAGTGTCTTGCTCTATAGCCCAAGCTGGAGTGCAGTGGCATGATCTTGGCTCACTGCAACTTCTGCCTCTTGGGTTCAAGTGATTCTCCTGTCTCAGCCTTCTGAGTATCTGGGATTATAGGTGCCCACCACCATGCCCAGCTAATTTTGTATATTTAGTAGAGATAGGCTTTCACCATGTTGTCCAGACTGGTCTTGAACTCCTGACCTCAGATGATCTTCCCACCCCGGCTTCCCAAAGTGTTGGGATTACAGGTGTGAGCCACCGTACCCTGTGTTTTCTGTGTTTAACTGTGTTTTCTGGTCTCCCAAAGGAACATGTCAAAATGGTGAGGAGTGGGGGTATTCCAGTGCACCTGGAAACCATGGAGCCATGGGCTGCATACTGTGTGAAGGCCCAGACATTTGTGAAGGCCATTGGGAGGTACAGCGCCTTCAGCCAGACTGAATGTGTGGAGGTGCAAGGTAAGGATGGCTTCTCTCTCTCTCGAGCCCTGCACAGGTGATAGCCCCTCCTGGCATATCTCAGAGGCCTGCTGGGTTCCTTTGGTTCACTGACCTGCCTCACAGGCTGGGTAGGTTCCTGTGGTGAAAGTATGCATGTCACTCTGATTCCCCTAGAGGCAGGAGTCCACCCTGGGGCTGGTTATTCAAGCAGCTGTCTGAAACACTTTCCCCCTTAAAGTTTCCTAGGCCTGGGGGCCAGATGTTGCAAGACTGGTTTACCAGATGGTTACTACCTGTGAATCAGAGCCTGCTGCAGGAGAGGCAGCCACAGGCTTCAGAGGGTCAGACCTCGGACCCTCTGAAGACTGTGGCCCACATTGTATAACACCACAGCTTTTTTCACCTGGAAGGGACCTTAGGGAAAGTCTAGAGAATCCTCTTGTTTGAATTACTTGTTTCTCTTGAATATTTTAAAGTCAGAAAACCTACAATGTTTAAAAACACTTTGAAAAGAAGCAAAACCGAACAAGACCCTACATCCCATGATCTGTCACTCAAACATCACTAGTTACATTTTTTTGTGTAGCTTTTAGTCTTTAAAAATGAGCTATTATCTTTTTTAAAAGACTAATCATCATCTTAAATATGTAGTACATGTATTTACTTATTTTTCTTTCTAAAACAATTTATTTTGTATGTACAGACAGGGTCTTGCTGTGTTGCCTGGGCCATGGCCTCCCAAAGGGCTGAGATTATAGGTGTGAACCACCACACACGGCTCATTCAGGGCATCATCCTTCAGTCACTGCCATGTGTAGGCACATGCTGTAGTTCTATAACATACACATTTTGTGCCTGCTTTTTCACAAGTATCATATCCATAACGTTTTTCATGTAGATTTCTTGATTACCATTTTACACTACTTTTTGAAATCGTACAAGTCAAGTTTGCTTGACAATCCAAACACCAAAGCATGTAAAGTAAAAAGTAGGGCCAGGCACGGTGGCTCACACCTATAATCCTGGCACTTTGGGAGGCCAAGGCAGAAGGATTGCTTGAGCCCAGGAGTTCAACACCAGCTTGGGCAACTTAGTGAGACCTTGTCTCATGTTAATAAATAAATAAATAAATAAAGAGGTAAGTAAGTGTGCTCCATTCTCCTGCACACCACTCCGGAGGTTTCCTTTGGTGAGTTTGACGTTTAATCTTCCAGGAGTTATCTGTGTGATACCAATGCTCACATACACAGATGGGATGATATTGTACCTACTACTCTATACTTGGCTTGTCTTCACTCAGTAGTATACTGGGAACATCTTTTCATGTCAATACGTATGGATCTACCTCATTTTTAAAGGGCCGGGTGTGGTGGCTCACGCCTCTAATGCCAGCACTTTGGGAGGCAGGTGGATCACCTAAGGTCAGGAGTTTGAGACCAGCCTGACGAATGTGGTGAAACTCTGTCTCTACTAAAAATACAAAAATTAGCCAGGCGTGGTGGTGCATGCCTGTAATTTCAGCTACTAGGAAGCTGAGGCATGAAAATTGCTTGAACCAAGGAGGCAGAAGTTGCAGTGAGCAAAGACTGTGCCACTGCACTCCAGTCTGGATGGCAGAGCGAGACTCAGTCTCAAAAACAAACAAACAAACAAACCCCCAAAACACAAACAAAACCCAATGCATGTGTATATGTCAATATATGTAAATGAAAGGCTGTTGCTCTAGTTCAGATGTTGCTAAGAACTGATGTATATAATTGATTCCTTCCTTGGAATTAGTTTTTGGAATTAAAATTTCAGGAGTTGGGGAGAAATGGGGATATAGGCACAAAAAAACCAGAAAGAATGAATAAGACCTACTATTTGATAGCAACAGGGTTGACTATAGTCAACAATAACCTAATGTGTATTTTAAAATAACCTGAAGAGTGTAATTGAACTGTTTGTAACCTGAAAGATAAATGATTGAGGGGATGGCTGCCCTATTCTCCATGATGTGCTTATTTTACATTGCATGACTGTCTGAAAACATCTCATGTACCCCATAACTATATATGCCTACTATATACCTTCAAAAATTAAAAAAAATATATCGCAGGAGTGGACGAAAGGGTATGAACATTTGTGTATATCTTGATGTGTACCCCCCAAATATTTTCCAAAACCATTGAAATAATATACAGTGCCCCTAGCCACAAGTCCACCAGCTATTCCAGTCTCATTGGCTGGGCTACCCTTCACATTGCAGGTGAGTAACCTGGGCCAGAGAGGCTAATTGAGTTGCTCAAGGTTACACAGAACAGAGAGATGGGAAAATAACCTGTCCCCTCTTCCAAATCTCCAGATGCTCAGATCTAACCTTTTCTGCTACATTTATTGGTAGAATGACTATGAGCTTCAGAGCCAGTCCTACCTGGGTGACCTGGGGTAGGTCACTTAGCCATTCTGAGCATAGATTCCTCTTCTATAAAAGCAGGGATACTCACACTCATTTTGAAGTACAAGCAACTACATGTCCAGTCCCTAGCATAGTTCTGGAAGGCCATAGTAATCCTAGCACACAAAATGGGGGCTTCATATCTTGTAGTTATTATCTGACTGTTTTCTGAACCATTTCCTCTATAACATGAATCAATGCCAAGAGTGAATTGTGAAACACACTTTGTTTCGAGTTACCGCCCAGCCCCATTCTGCGCTGTTCTCTTTCAGTACCTCCCACTCATCCTGTCCAGGGCCTGGCACTCTGCCTTCCTACTGGCAGTGGTGCCAAGGTACGTGCTAACACAGCTATTGGCTTCACACATGATGCTCCTCCCTTTCATGTCACAAGAAAAAGATTTTCATCTTCCCTGGGCGTTCTGGAAGCCATGCCTTAATCTGGATTCTAGAAAAATGCTTTTAATGGTGGTAATTTTGGTCACTAAAGCACACATCAAATCTCAGGATCTTGGTATCTGCCGTCTTGGTCAATGTGCAGAGTCAACTCCAGGAAACTGGGGGCGGGGTGGTCTCAGGATTGGAGATTTAATCTTCACTGCTGTTTTCTAAGCCTGTTTTTATCTTTTGTTTCCAGGAGAGGTCATTCCTCTGGCACTGGCCCTTTTTGCCTTTGTTGGCTTCATGCTGATCCTTGTGGTCGTGCCACTGTTCATCTGGAAAATGGGCCAGCTGCTCCAGTACTCCTGTTGCCCCATGGTGGTCCTCCCAGACACCTTGGTAATAGATCTAGTTCTTTATTTCTTTCAGTGTGACATTGACCAGATGTAGTTTGGGCCTCAATTGGGCATGAGCACATATTTCCATGGTGGGATTATAGGCATCTCCACAGAGAGGGGAGAGGAATACTTGTAAAAGACTTCACTTCTAACTAGAGGCACTGGAATAAATCTCCTTTCTCCAGAGCGTGGTGGCCTCCCTGAAGCAGGTCACCTCTGCTTTCTTCCAGGACCTGGGATGGCAAAGAGAGAAGATGTGTTACCCAGCCCAGGATGCTCAGTATCGCAGGAGTCCTGCACGGTCTTACCCTTCCAGACTGGCCTGCTGAGCATCTTGGCCTCTTCCAATTGTAACAGCAACCACACCCAATGACCTGTTTCAATACAACTCACTCAATTCACATGCCAAAGCCTCATTGTTCAGAGTGAAGAAGATGTATGTGGGAGGCATGGACTGTGCTTTGATCTTGGTGGGGTAGGGTGGGGTGGTGAAGGGACAGCAATCTGGACCTTCACAGTGACTGCCTGAGGTTAGGGAACCTTACCTGTATTCTCAGATCCTCATAAGGCCAGAATTCTTATCTTACTCCTGAGGGTCCTGGATCACAGGTCTGGGTCTCTCCAGTGGGTATAGGACCCATACACCCATGCTGTGGTGGGGGAAACGCAAAAGCAGGCCTCCAACAGCTCCCCGATATTCTCTGGCTACCTCCCCAGATGTTTCCCCCCAGCCCCCAGACCTCAACCACACAAAACCGTGCAACAAAACAAAAATAACAAAAACGAAATAAAAAAGCTCCATCCCTGTCACCCTAGGGAATTCTCACAGTTCTCTCCTGGGAGGAGGCAGCCAGTGTCAACTTCTGGAAAGCAACTAAAACCAGAACTACCTGCAGCTTATACATGCCCACAGCTCCTTATCAGCCTGGAGTCACTCTGAAAGGAGTCATTCTTGGCCGGGTGCTGTGGCTCACGCCTGTAATCCCAGCATTTTGGGAGGCTGAGGCGGGTGGATCATGAGGTCAGGAGTTCAAGACCAGCCTGGCCAAGATGATGAAACCCAATCTCTACTAAAAATACAAAAAATTAGCCAGGTGTGGTATCTAATGCCTGTAATCCCAGATACTCAGGAGACTGAGTCAGGAGAATCACTTGAACCTGGGAGGCAGAGGTGGCAGTGAGCCGAAATCACGCCATTGCACTCCAGCCCGGGCAAAGGCAATAAGAGCAAAACTCCATCTCAAAAAACAAACAAACAAACAAACGAACAAACAAAAAGAAAGGAGTCATTCTTGTGACAGCTCTGTGGCCCTGCTTTCTCTCCCTACACAGGAGGAATAACTCTCCCTATAATTCAGTCTTTAGGACACCCCTCCACTCTGTTGTCCTAATGCCAGATCTCCCTTCTCTCCCATACTTCCAGGTAGTTGTAATGACTTTAGCTGATACTAGTACAGGGCTAAGTGCCAGATACTGTTCTAAGGCTTTATATTTATTGACTCATTTCTTGTCATAAAGCTTAAAAGTGTCCTTTTGATCAGTTCCTCCCTCCATCCTTCTCTGAATGACTGAATGGCTTACTGCTCTGCATAAAGGCAATGGGATGTATCAAACACAGAGGAGCAGGGTGGGCCTTTGTTATCCTTCAGCAAGAACTTGAGGGCCTCAAAGTACCTTGAAGCATAAAAGGATCTGTATTCTGCAGTTATTGGGGAAGCGTTTTATAAATATCGATTAGGTCAAATGTTTCATGGTATTGTTCAGATCATCTTTGTCATTATTTTTTTGTATAGTTGTTTAATATGGAGAGTAGGATATCTGAGTGCCACTATGAGTGCTGGTGTGTCTGTTTCTCTCTCTCTCTCTCTCTATTTTTTTTGAGATAGAGTTTCACTGTTGTCACCCAGGCTAGGGTACAGTTGCGGAATCTCAGCTCATTGCAACCTCCACCTCCCTGGTTCAAGCAATTCTCTTGCCTTAGCCTCCTGAGTAACTGGGATTACAGGTGCTTGCCACCACGCCTGGCTAACTTTTGTATTTTTAATAGGTTTCACCATATTGGCCAGGCTGGTCTCACACTCCTGACCTCAGGTGATCCGTCCACCTTGGCCTCCCAAAGTGCTGGCATTACAGACGTGAGCCACTGCACCTGGCCTGTCTCTCTCTTTATGTCAAAATTTCCTTACCTATTTTGAGGCTCTGTTTTAAGAATGTTCACATTTTGACATTTAAATGTATTCATATCTTGTTATGATTTCTCGAGTAATGGAGTCTTTTATCATTATGATACGTTTTTCTTTATCTCTGATAATATTCCTTAGTGTGATATCAGTATACCCTTTCTTTGCTTTTGCTGTTTGTTTGGTATATCTTTTTTTTTGACATATTTTTACTTTAAAGCTATCTGTACATTCATATTTAAGGTGTGTCTCTTATAGACAGCATATAGTCTTTTCTGTTATTATTTTTTGGCATAAATCCATTCTGACAATCTCTACTTTTAAATTGGTATTTTTAGTCCATTAGCTTTTTTTTTTTTTTTGAGATAGAGACTCGCTCTGTTACCCATGCCAGAGTGCAGTGGCATGATCTTGGCTCACTGTAACCTCTGCCTCCCAGGTTTAAGCAGTTCTCCTGTCTCAGCCTCCTGAGTAGCTGGGGCTACAGGTACATGCCACCACACCTGGCTAATTTTTGTATTTTAGTAGAAATGGGGTTTCAATATATTGGCCAGGCTTGTCTTGAACTCTTAACCTCAGGTGATCCACTTGCCTTGGCCTCCTAGTGTTGAGATTACAGGTGTGAGCCACTGTGCCCAGCCTCCATTAACATTTAATATAATGATATGGTTGAATTTAGGTCCACGATTTTATTTTCTCTTTCTTCTGTTTTTGGTTTTTCTTTTTCTTTTTTTTTCCCCTCTGTTCTTCTTTTTATGCCTCTTTTTGGGTTATAATTTTTTTGAATTTCACTTTAGTGACTTTTTAGTTATTCTTCTTCAAATTGTGTTTTCATGATTGTCCTAGGAGTTGCAATATACATATTCTTAACTTTTCATGCTCTACTTAGAATTAACATTATATCATTTCACGTGAAATGTAAGAATCTTGGAGTAATCTTGGCTTTACAAAGTTATATATATTCTAAAGGTATTTAAAATAATCTTTTATATTTACCTACATATTTACCATTTCTGGAACGCTTTCTTCTTTTCTGAGATCTGCATTTCCATCTGGTATGGCTTCCTGTTATTTTATAAAACTTCCTTTCTTTTTTTTTTGTTATAGGTTTAGTAATATAGATCTGCTAGTGACAAATTCTCTTAGATTTCTTTTATCTGAAAATGTTTTTCTTTTGCTTTCATTCTTGAAGGATATTTTTGCTGGATTCTTGGTTGACAATATTTTTTTCTTACTACTTTATTTTTATTTTAAATATTAATTACAACATTTCAAAAATAATAAAATTTTATTTTAACAGAGACAGGATCTTGCTATGTTGCCCAGGCTGGTCTGAAACTCCTGGGCTCAAGCAATCCTCTCGCTTGGCCACCCAAAGTGCTGGGATTTACAGTGGTAAGAGCCACTGCACCCAGCTCTCTTACTACTTTAAAGGTATTGTTTAATTGTCTTCTAGCTTGCATTGTATCTGATAAGAAAACAGCCATTATTTTTTTTTTAACATAGTTCCCCTATGTGAAATGTGTTCTCTTTCTCTTGCTGCTTTTAAATTACCATTGGTTTCACCTGTTAAATTATAACATGCCTAGATGGGGTTTGTGTTATATTTATCTTGCTTATAGTATATCGAGCTTCTTGAATCTGTAAATGTATATATTTTAAAGCAACAATTTGGAAAAGTTTCAGCAATTTTTTTAGAAACCGGACCTCACTCTGCCACCCAGGCTACAGTGCAGTGGTGTGATCATGGCTCACTGCAGCCTCAACCTTCTGGGTTCAAGTGATTCTCCCACTTCAGCCTCTTGAGTAGCTGGGACTATAGGCATGTGACACTGCAACCAGCTAGTTTCTAAATTTTAGATAGAAACAGAGTCTTGCTATGTTGTCCAGGTTGGTCTTGAACTCCTGAGCTCAAGCAATCCTCTTGTCTTGGCCTCCCAACATGCTGGGATTATAGGCATGAACCACTGCACCTGGCCATGGCTAATTATTTTATTTTTTGCAGAGATGGCGTTCTCCCTATGTTGCCCAGGCTGGTGTGGAACTCCTGGGCTCAAGTGGTATTCTTCTGCCTTGGCCTCCCAAAGTGTTGGGCTTATAGACATGAGCCACTGCTCCCAGCCCATATTTCTTTAGTCGTTTTTTTTTTAATCTCATTCTCTTCTCCCCTTCTGTGAGTCCAATTTTATTTATGTTAGACCTTCAGATATTGTCTCCATTGATTCCTGAAGCTCCATTTATTTTTATAAAAAAACTTATTTTCTTCTTCTTTATTCTTCAGATTGAATAATTTTATTAACCTATCTTCTTGCTCACTGACTCTTCTGTTATCACCAGTCTGATTTTAGGCACATCTAGTGAATTTCATATTTAAATTTCAGATATTATATTTTTCAATTCTAGAATTTCTATTTGTTTCTTTTTTATAGTATATTTCTGCTGAGATTTTCTATTTGCTCATTTATTATGAGGATATTTTTTTCTATGTCTTTGAGCATAAGTTTAATGCCTTTGTCTGCTTTACTTTAAAATCTTTGCTAATTTCACTAGGTGAGTCATGTCAAGGTTGGCCTCTATTGATTGTTTTTTATTTGGTATAGGTCACATTTTCCTACATTTTGTATGTCTAGTGATTTTGGATTATAGTCTGGATACAGTCAACAATATGTTATAGAGATTTTGGATTCTGTTATGTTCCTCTAAAAACTATTGATTTTTTTTTTTTTTTCGTTTGTTTGCTTCAGTAAGCAGTGGGTTTGGATGAAAGACTCAACTTTGGTCTCCTGTGCATTAGGCAGTTGATGTTGATTAGACTGTTTAGCCTTAGAAAGACTGGTAGGCGCTTTCCCCACACCGGCAGCTCACACAGTTCAAAGGTCAATCAGAGATTTGGGCAGAATTTATGTACAAAATTTGTAGCTTCCCTTTTCTGGCTCTCTCCTTTTTGGGATGTTTTTCCTCTTACTTTCTAACTTCTGGGTTGGCACCAGTCTGTGTTTTGGCTTTTTAAAAACAGTAAGACTGTGACTCTTTACGGCACCAGGTGGGACTTGCCTTCAGGCAAGGAGCTGTGAAAAATGGGAAACTCATCGGGTGACATTCTCTTCTTCCAAGCATGAACTTTCAGTTGCTCTACCATGCTTTAGGAATCTGTTTTTAATATTTGGGTCAGTTTTAAAAGTTGTTTGTGAGGAGTGTTGGTTTAAAAGTTGGTTTGTGAGGAGGTCGGATTGGTACTTTTCTGACATAAGTAGAAGTAGAACACTGCAATAAAAGAGGAATTCCTCGATCGAATCCAAAGCAATGGTAATGGTAGGGAGCATTTCTGGCTGAGGCATGTCAATAGCGCCTCTTTTTCAAAATGGTAAAAAGCTCAGCCTTCCTCTTCTGGGCTCCACCAGGTGGTCTTCTGTTGTGATTTCTCTCTTAACTCTGCTGCCCATGCTTACCCTCAGTCTCTCTTATTTTTTTCTCTTCTAATTCTATCAGGGGGATAGAAGAGTTTTTCTCCCTACCCTTGATAGAAGATCTTTCCAAGACCCAGTGCCTTGTTAGTGAGGAACAGGGAAAGAACCATGTAAAGGGTCAATAACTTACAGGATTTCAGGTACACAAGAAGAGTCCTCAACTGGTAAGATCTCCTGAGAATCCTGACGCATCTTGAGCCACACCCTAAAATCAGCTTTTAGAGGAAACGAAATAGCTTAGATGAGACCAGAGGCTGGAAGACTCTATGACAGTATGACCAATTTCATCCATGGCAGATAGACATCACCACACTCGACTACCTTTTGCTTCCTTGTTCTCTGTTACTATTTTTCCTACATCATTCTGATGTCTGTTCCTACGTGCATTCCCTTCCGTAAGGCTTTTAACTTTTATTCTTCTTTCACTCCAAGATTTTTAAAGTGGACAAATTTCCCCACAGTGCTGTGTGAGAGACAGATCACTAGTGTCTGTTAAATCCCAAACACATTCTTGAGCTGTGAATCAACATGGACACCTCCCCTCTCTCCGCCATGACTTTGGCATAGCCTAGCTGCATTTCTACATTTGTGTTTCTTACAGATAATTCTCCAAACTATTAAAAAGTGATTTCTAGTCATCCTTGCAAAGTCAACTCATCTTTCCAACTAAACCATGGAAAATTACCAATCAGAAATCCCTGACAATTCTTCAAAAAGGTCTACTGAGTTTGTGTTTAAATCGGAAACATTTTGTGTTTGCATCTAAAATTTTATAGTAGGTGATGATTGTTCTCTGAAATATGACATTAAGAATTTTTTCCATTAAAGTTTATATCACCAAGTTAACAGTCTAAAGCAAAACTATATATGCAAGGAAAATTATATTAATTCTGCCAAGTATATATTCTCCGTTGAAAAATATAGTTTATTTTCCTCGTCTTTCTTCCATAATTGCTTCATGGACATGGGTGCTTTGGTGCTAAAAGGTCTCTGTTTCCTTCCTGTGACTCACTTTATTCTTTCTCCTTTTGTGTCACATTCTACTGTAATGTGGGTAGCAAGCATAAAGATGGCCCAGATTAGTAATTCTTCAGTGAACCATCCAAGTATGACCTTGCATGCTTCACAGAAAGTGGAGTTTGTCAATTCAGATGCCTCTGAGTCCACATGGGTACTGGAAAGAAGAAAAATAAAAGAAAAAGGAGAGAATGTGCAGTGCAATGAATGGAGCTCAACAGGGAGGGGGTTGGGGATCATGGCAAATATATTTCATCTTCTCAGTGACAGCAGGTTGCTAGCAAGAGGAAGTGTGAGCCCCTGCTGCCAGATCTCCAGGTTTTAAACGAGAAGCCCAGAAATCCAGATTTGTATGGGATCTCTTGATTTTTAAATGTTAAAAATGAATTTAAATTTTACAAATCTGCCCAGCGTTGCTTCAAAATTAGTTCTAAACTGTGGGACCACAGTTTTGCACCTTCCAAAATTCTGAGATTTTGCTGTTTGTTTAACTTTAATGTGCTAGAGCTGCACTGTCCAATACAGCAGCCACTGGTCATATGTGACTGTTAGACACAGAAACGTGGCTCATCCAAATTGAGATGCATCATAAATAAAAAACACAGAATGGATTTTGAAGACAGAATAAAACAAGAATATAAAATATTTCTGTCATTTAAAAAAAAATTTTTTTTTGAGACAGAGTCTTGCTTTGTTGCCAGACGCCAGGCTGGAGTACAGTGGTGTGATCTTGGCTCACTGCAACCTCCGCCTCCCGGGTTCAAGCAATTCTCCTGCCTCAGCCTCCTGAGTAGCTGTGGGACTACAGGTGCGCACCACCACGCCCAGCTAATTTTTATATTTTTTAGTAGAGACGGGGTTTCACCATGTTGGCCAGGATGGTCTTGATCTCTTGACCTTGTGATCTGCCCGTCTCATCCTCCCAAAGTGCTGGGATTACAGGCGTGAGCCACCGCGCCTTGCCTTCTGTCATTTTTAAGTGACATGTTAAAATGATATTTTGGATTTTTTGTTAAATAAAATGTATTATTAAAATTAGTTCTACCTGTTTCTTTTTACTTTTAAAAATGTGCTACTAGATTTAAAAAATTGCATATGTGGCTCACATTATATTTCTATTGGACAGCACTGTTCTGGAATTTAAAAAATAATCAAGTATGGCCGGGTGTGGTGGCTCATGCCTTTGGGAGGCCGAGGTGGGCGGATAACCTGAGGTTGGGAGTTCCAGACCAGCCTGACTAACATGGAGAAACCCTGTCTCTACTAAAAATACAAAATTAGCCAGTGTGGTGGCGTATGCCTGTAATCCCAGCTACTCAGGAGGCTGAGGCAGGAGAATCGCTTGAACCTGGGAGGCAGAGGTTGCAGTGAGCCAGATCGTGCCACAGCACTCCAGCCTAGGCGACAAGAGAGAAACTCTGTCTTAAAAATAAATAAATAAATAAAAATAAAGTATGACCAATGCAGATGTAGGGAGTGAGCGTCCTGAGAACTTGACCACAGCAGCAAGTCATGGGCTTCACACTCAGGCTTAGTGAGTGCTGTGTGTGCATTGTGTTTTCCTGTTGGCATTTGCCCAGGGACACTAAGAACGAGCCTCTGTAGCTGCCTCTTTGCAAATAAGGACGAAGGAAGACTGGCTCAATGAAGCTGATGTCTCCTAGGGAACTGAGGTGGAGGAAACCATTGAGCCTGTTCGTGCCCATGTGTTACCCTTGGGAGTGATGAGGGGAAGGGCTGAGAGAGATAATTGTAGAAGAACCTAGAGATTTTGGCAGAGGTGAGCAGGTGAGTAACAGGTGTGAGAGTCCACTTGAAAAGTTGGTGTCTGCATGTTTATAACTAGTAATGATTATGTAATGGGGCCACTGGGAAAAGATGGCGGGAACCTGAAATATGAGTAAGGAAGGGACTCCCGTTTATGGAACATCCTCTGTGTATTGGGCACCATGCTGGGTGGCATTCATAAAGCTTCTCAGACCAGGTCATAATTCTCAGAGCTCTCTGGTAGAAGATGGCTGGTGTTTTGTTGTGGTGTTTGAGACAGGGTCTGGCTCTCATACCTAGGCTGGAGTGCAGTGGCGTGTTCAGAGCTTACTGCAGCCTTGACCTCCCAGGCTCAACTGATCCTCCTGCCTCAGCCTCACAAGTAGCTGGGACCACAGGCATGCACCACCACACCTGGTTAGTTTATTTTTTGTGGAGAGAGAGCCTCACTATGTTACCCAGGCTGGTCTGTAACTTCTGGGCTCAAGCAGTCTGCCTGTTTCAGCCTCCCAAGGCAGGTGTGAGCCATGAAGCCTGCCTTTAAATTTTTTTTTAAACCAGAATTACATTTTGGGTTTTTGTGGGGCAGAGTCTTAGAGTGAGGAGTTCTGACCAAGCAGGACTTCAAGGGAACTGTAGGTAGTGAACAGGGAGATGATCTTAGCAAAAGTTGGAAGCCACTGATCTGAGGAGGGGTTGAAATTGTTTTTTGGTTTTTGTTTTGCTGCTTGGAAATTAATTAATCAAACAGTTAAAAATTTAATAATTTTTTTTACTATTACTACTACTATCCTCTAATGAATATTAATGAAAATTATTTTTCAGAAAATAACCAGTTCACCCCAGAAGTTAATCAGCTGCAGAAGGGAAGAGGTCCATCCCTGTGCCATGGCCGTGATGTCTTCTGAGGAAATCTTTAGGGCCTGGATCTCATAGGCTTGGGGAAGGGCCCAGGTGAAGCTGAGAACCTGGTCTGCATGACATTGAAACCATGAGGGGATGAGTTGTGTTTCTGTTTTCCTCCACCAACAAGGGGTGAGAGAAGTAGGAAGAGCCTGTTGTCTACACATCTAGAAGCATCCATCAGAGGCAGACTGGTTTGTCTAACAGAGCACTGACTGGGGGTTAGGAGATGTGACCTCTAGGCTGAGGGCTGCCATTTGCTGGCTGAGCAACCCTGGGAAAAGTGACTTCATTCCTTCGGTCCTATGTTTTCTCATCTGTAATGGAAGAATTAACTACACACCTGCTAAACACACACACACACACACACACACACACACACACACATGAGTCTCTCTCCATATATACACACATGTACACATATATACATCCTACACTTTCGAGGCTCGAGGGAACTGGTGACACTACAGTCTGACTGATTCCGTGTTTCTGGAGAGCAGGATGCAAATGTGTGATAAGAATGATCAAACACTCTACACGCTGGGTGGCTTGGACAGCCCACGTTCCTGGAAGAATCCTTGAGAGAAAAGGAAGAATGGGAGCAATGGTGTTGATTTCACTTCAAGCCAAATGCCGGTACAGAGGTGAATGGCTCAGCGAGCACTACAATAGGTGACCTGGAGGAAGGTCACAGCTACACTGAAAATGCGATGTGTGTGAACACAGCAGATCCATGAACTACTGTAAAGTGTTGACAGTGTGCACACTGCGGACAGCAGGTGAAATGTGTGTGTGCAGTGCGCTGAGAATGCAGAAGTCAGTAATGTGTGCGATGTTTTTCCTGTAGAGCTGCTAAAGTACAGAATTTAGCAAATAAAAAGGGGCCACCCTGCCCAAAAGTGTCTTTAAAGTTCTAGGTACATTGTCAACTTCAAGTCCAGAGAGGCTCCAAAGGACACCTTTGGTCAAGAGGACTGGGGGTCGGGGAGGAGGAGCTCCAGGAGTCCAGAACCTGGGGCTGCCTGGGTAGAGCCAGCCTCTGGCTGCATGAGAACCCCAGTTGAGGCAACTGGCATAAGCCTCACCTGGTCAGGGTGATCCTGGGCCTTTCCTGGAGGCCCTACCCCACAGGAAATCCCTGGGGGACCCTCTTTTCCTTGACAGCTTACTCACGGTATCCCCAGCCCCTCTTAATCTGCTCATTTAGGACCCACCTCTGGAAGCCTCTACCCACTCCTTTCCCCTACCAGGTAAAGAAAAGAGCCAACTGCAGAGAAGGAATGGGGGGAGGAAACTTGTTGAGGGGTGAAGGGATTGATGAGCAGGGCCTGCACCTTGCCTTCTAACCCTCTCAAAGCTCAGGAGCCTGTGTTGGCTTCTCTCCATCCCCGCTTCCTGGACTCTTTCCAGCCAGCCCAGTGGTGGGACAGTCTAACCGCATCAACTGAGTGTTTTCCAGAGGCCACAGCCCTTCACCACCTGGAGGGGTCTCTCCAGGAGCATGAGATCGCTGAAGACCTGTTCCTCCTTTTCCTTTGTTATTCTGTATGCTTCTCTGTGTTGTCTGTTAGAGTGTGTGCTAATTTTATATTTGACCTGAACTGGAAACACACTTTCAGTTTGCAAAAACAAAGACCATATTACTCTACCAGTCATCGCCCTCCCTCCTCTCTCTTCCTGCCCCCTTATGGTGGGTGGTGAGGGGCACTATCCTTCTGCCCCAGCCCAGGCCCAGAACCAAGAAAGGACCCCACCTCCCTCTACTTGAGTCTCTCACAACTAGTCCCAGTGCCCATCCGCTTTTTGGTATATATACATATACAGAAATTTCTCTTGATTCTTCTGTTGTCTCTCCATGTCCTGAACATGCATTTATGATGCCCCAGCCATGCCAAGCCCCACTTGTGGAGGGACTGCCTTCTCTACCATTTCCCTCTGCCCTGGAGCACTTCTATCCTGAGTCCCAGCCCTCCTCCCTCCCCCCTCCAATGCAATGAGAGATCATGAGTGAAAAGGAATGTGATTCATAATTACAGCAGGACCGCAGCTGTAAAGTGGAACTTCTCTGGGCAAACCAGGAGCCGGCACAGCTTTCTCATCATAAGGCTCAGCTTTCTGCCACACTTTTTTCCTAGAAGCTCCAATTGCCCAGTTGCCCAGTTACTGAGTCTGGGGGCCCAGGCTCAGCACTGCTGGCTTGCTTTGTTTTCATAGCCTCTCACTGAGTCCTGCAGGAATTGGGGGAAGTGCTTGTGGTGGTGGTGGTGGTTGGGGGAAATGAGTAACTGGGAGCAGCCTAGAGCGGCTTCTGCTGTTTCAGTGAAGACTGTCTCTTGCAGCCCGACCCACTAGAGTCCCCTTGGCCCCCAGAATCAAGCCCAGCCTTCTTAGTCCTGCCTTCAGGGTACAACTGCCAGGGTCCAGTGAATAAAACCCCTGCTCCACGAGGCTTACACTCCAACGGGGTAAGGGAAAAGTAATAACACAATAACAAAGTATTATTATGAAGTGAATTAGTTAGGATGTTGGGCGTTTGTAAGTCACGGTAAAATGAAAAGGTAGAGCAGAAAACAGGGGCTGAGGGGAAGTTGCAGCCTCCTCACAATGAAAGTGGATGGAAACAATGGACCCAAAACTATCTGTCGGATAAGTCCCCACATAGTCACATGGTGTGAGAGATCATGGGTGATCATAGAACAAAGTAACTTGGCGACAGTGGCCAGAAAAATTGAGTTGAAGTAAAGTGAAAAAGAAAAACAAAAAAAGTAACTTGGTGACAAACCCTTAGGTGTATGTAGTCTAAAAAACTTTATTCAGCATTTATACTATTCGTATTGACAGGGTATTTTTTCAACTATTATCAGATAAAGCAAGTAAATAATGTATATTTTGATAGGAATCTAGATATCAGGATTAGTGACAAGGAAGGCTAATTGTAGACTCCCAATTTGAGTAAGAACAGGGCACTGTTGGAATGGAATTGAATATATTAATATGAAGTCATGACTTTATGAAACATTACATTAAAAATATTTTGACTTTTTTTTCCACTGAAATGGCCCAGGAGAAATGTCACCTCCATAATGCATCTTAATGCTAAGATTTTGGTTTCTAGTGTTATTTTCTCTCAAAGGAGCCAAAGTTTCTTGGCACCAATAGTGGATGCCATGTCAGCCTGGGGTTGAAAGGTACAGTGATCCTAGAATACTTACACCTTTTTTGGACAGAAAGCAAAGCGTTAAATAAGGGTCATTCAAAATTACACGAGGAACAATCTATACAGGGCTCCTCCTGGCCGAGGTTGGGACAGTATAGGCTCCAGAAGGAGAATATTGGCTGGCACAATTGATACCATACATTTGAAAACAAGAGCAAAGCTACCACAGTGCATTCTCAGAGAAGATGAATCTGATAGAATGCATTTCTACTTGTTATTCAATCCTGCTGGGCTTGCTGACTCGTTTATCGTGTCACTGAAGAATTCCAGTAAATGTAAATCCATCAGTCAGAAGGCATTTCTTCTTCTCTAAAGGCTCGTCTCCGCCCCTTAACGTAACGTCTGGACTTTCCACTCTTGGCTCTCCTTGTCCTGTCAAGGGGTTCCGTGGAAAAATCTTTTAAGTTCCCTTCACAGAAGGATTGCAGACTGCTGGTCTAGTCTCTGGCCCAACCCTCCCCGTCTCTTTAATAAAGACATTTTTTCTTATTTTCCGTGTGCTGTATATTATTCTTAAACCAGAGTAACTTTCCGCGGATGCAGACCTCTCGGTTTCCTTTGAATTTGGAGGGCTTGGTCCCATCGCCAGCTTCTGGAGCCCACCAGGAGGGGAAGACCCATTACATCCACGGGTGTCTGGCGTCACCTTGTGGTCAGTACTGGAATTTTTTTGGTTCCCACTCGCAATGAAGCTCCTTGGGCTTCCTGGATGAAGAAAGGAAAGCTCAGGCCGGTTTCCTAGAATAATAACTCAGTTACACAGTTTCTACGGACTTGGTCCTTAACAAACTTCCACTGTCATTGGTGGAGATAGAATTTAGCAGCCACCCTCTCCTCGCTCTGTGTCTATCTGTCCCAAGCTCATGATTTGGGGCTTCACGCTGTATCCATGGTTCGCCCTCCCTGCTGGGACCTTGGCCTCTCTCTCTGTCTGTTGATCTCTCCTACACGCTGCCATTCACTACCTCTCAGAAATAGACGTTTTGTTTTTGATATTTTTTTCCCTTCTGTGTGTCCTGTTTCTAGGATCCCTTTACTAGACGGACTTTCCAGGGGTGTTCCTCAGCCCCGGCACAGGTCAGTAGGGAGGAGTCAGCCTGCTGCTTGCTCTTGTTGAACCAGGGTGCTGCCCAGACTGTGAAATTTGGAATTGGAACACTAGAGTTGGCCCCAAATTACAGCTTTTTCTTCTGGCTCCTGGGACTCCCAGCTTCTTCAGCAACAATAACAAAACCTGGAAAATCGTATCCTTGCCAGAGGTGGGAGAATGAGGCTCACAAAAGGAAAACACAGATCTTTCTTGTCTCCCCCCGCAAGAATTTGCAAGACCAGGTTATAGAACCCCATTAAGGACCTTGGAGAAAGAACTGAGCAAGGAGCCTTCTCAGGGACCTACAAACATCTCCAAGAGCGAAAGTATGAATCCTCATATTGTGGAGGAGGTACATGTTCCCGGTTCCTTCACTGGACCTCATTGAAAAAATAACAACAACAACAACAACAAACTACGTTAAATAACCCCCCTGCCCCGCCCGGTGGCCGGGTGCGGTGGCTCACGCCTGTAATCCCAGCACTTTGGGAGGCTGAGGTGGGCGGATCACCTGAAATCAGGAGTTCAAGACCAGCCTGACTAACATGGTGAAACCCCTTCTCTACTAAAAATACAAAAATTAGCTGGGCGAGGTGGTGGGTACCTGCAGTCCCAGCTACTTGGGAGACTGGGGCAGGAGAATCTCTGGAACCCAGGAGGCGGAGGTTGCAGTGAGTGGAGATTGCACCATTGCACTCCACCCTGGGCGACAGCCACACTCCCTCTAAAAAAGAAACAAACAAACGCTTTTGGAGAAATGAGTGCCTGAACAAACCTCAGTAACTTCTAAAGTTTGCTTCTGTACTTAAAACAGCTCCTCTAGGAAGTGGCCACATGCCTCCAGTCTTGTATGAAATTGATTAAGTCTACAAAACATCATCTTGAGTTTCTGGCCCTAGGAGATCACAGCTCAGAAAGTAGGCCCCTCTGACGCCATCCCACCTGCATCAATCACGAGGACGAGCTTTCCCAGGCGAAACCATTTCATTGACATTAACTGCTCACTGTCTCACTGGAACTTTTCTTTTTTTTTTTTGAGATGGAGTCTTGCTCTGTCACCCAGGCTGGAGTGCAGTGATGTGATCTCGGCTCACTGCCACCTCTGGGTTCAAGCAATTCTCCTGTCTCAGCCTCTGAGTAGCTGGGATTATAGGTGCCCACCACCACATCCAGCTAATTTTTGCATTTTTAATAGAGACGGAGTTTCACTATGTTGCCCAGGCTGGTCTCAAACTCCTGGCTTCAAGTGTTCTGCCTGCCTTGGCCTCCCAAGTGCTGGGATTACAGGCGTGAGTCACCACCAGTGTTTTAAATGAAGTGTTTCAGTTTAGCTGATGGCAGCAAATAGATGCTGAAATTTAAATATAAGTAACACTAACAACTCAATTCTATTTTACTTTTCAAATAAAAAGATCTGTCCATTTGCAAAGAGCTTGGAGTGTTCTAATTAAAATTAGATTAAATTAGAAGTGATATTCAGAGACATCAGGGTATCGTCTGCTTGGAAAGCTGTCCTCCCAACAAACGAGGGGACTATAAATGGTAAGAAGTCTGACGTGCTGGATTTAAAAATATCTTTATGGAATATGTTTTATTGATTTTT